GAATGATCATACTTCTTTGGACATTCACTCAAGAGATTGAGAAGTTTACCTGACTCAACGCACTCCTGGAACTTGTGGCCTGTATGAGTCAGACCTACGGTTCTGATCCGGACCCCGCCGGCCAGACCGTTTAGTGCTTCAAGTTCAGAGAGGCTCTGTCGGATCCGGGATCCGGTCGGCAGGTGGCAGAGAGCAATGCCACGAGTCAAGCCATCCAAATTTTTCTGAGCTTTCCAGGGGTACATCAGGAAACCCGCTTCTCCCAATAAAAAATCTTCACAACCAACAACAAGTTCACAGCAGACTCAGCAGTTGAAATAGTAATCATATACTGAGACCCTAAACAAGTTGGCCGGATTGAATACATACTTGTTCATTGGCAATGCTAAGACCAATAAAAGAAAAAGGCCTGACACCGCGGCAAGCTGCCAATGTTCTCAATTTGAGAGGCTCTGATCATTTGGTTTGTAGCTGCAAGCGCCAGGCCTCCCGAGGAAGGCTGGAGCTATCCTTTGGGCGATGCATTGCAGTTAAGTCGATTGCTGACTGTTGACTGTAGAAAATATCTGGCAAATACCTTTCGATTTCCCAAACGAATCGTTGACATTAGATGCTGCGCCGACTATACCGTTGCATTAACTGGCGGTATGTCATGTGGGCTCATGTCGGAACTTGAAGGAACTGGTTTACAAGTGGCAAGTCCTCACAAGTCTCATCTTTGATGAATCAAAAGTAAAACGTATCATTTCTTTTCCGATTTTTCTCAAGGTATGTATCGCTGCTGACTCGATGAGACTCGGGACTTTCTGGGTCAGCAGTGCATTATATACCTGAGTTAAAAACGCGCAGGATGTCCGAGCCACTTACCCCCATGTTCTCCGCAGAATTCTTGAACTCTAAAAACTGGTGGTCAAACCTTGATCACCTCTTCTCCTGGTACTTTGGTGCTTTTACCTATATTTAATGTCTTATCTAAATTTCAAAGTGGCAAGTGCCTCCACTTGCTTTGTCAGTATCACACCAAATGATGAAGGACCGCAGAGGCCAGCCTGTGTTTCTTTCGCATCTATATTGTGCATTGTTCGTGTATGGCGCACTATTGATACTCACTATTACAACACCCACCAAAGTTTTCAGCGCGAAACTGTCAAAAGGAACTTTCATAAGATCCAACCTGGTGGGAAATGGTTGCACGTGAGTCACTCAAAAAAACCTGGAAAAAATCATTATAGTTTTTTACTTTACTTCACGATGTCGGACACTTATTGATATGATGTACCAGCTTTGAGGGGTAAGTCAGAGTTTTATCACGGGGAGAACAAACTATGTGCGCAATGAACAGAGAACTGAGCCAAAATCAGAAAAAATCATGATTCTGACATCCACTTGACTACTTTAACCTCAAATTGATCACCTTTCATGATTGAATAGAGGATCAAATATGATCAGAGAAAATAAACTGAATTAGTAGGTTTTTATATCCACAATTTTCCCCAGAAGATGAATTATTTTGCAATAACTCTTGGAAAACACCTCCCAGTATCAAACCAGGAAAAAAGGATGTAATACAATCCCAATTTTCTAGAAAGAACAATTCTCCTCCCAGAGTATCACGGCCAATAGGTTATGTGTATGTTATCTGATGACAAACAAAGAAAAAAAATGTGATTCCCTGAATCAAAGGATTGATATGCTTTTATGGAGAATATCTGATTGTAGAACATTGAGTGAATATTGCACTCTTTCACTACATGATGGCAAGACAACCCCTGATAAAATGAATGCTTTTCTGGACTATCTTTTGTGAGTCAGTTTTCCCATTGTTTTTTTGGAAAAAAACAAAAATTTCAAGAGCACATGTTCATTTTAAATTTTTCATAATGTTAACAGAGAACAAAATTGGAAGACAAGTGCTGATTGTTGGAAGGAAGAATTCCAAAAAACAAAAATTGATTCAAGGGAATTAGCCTCTTTGCAATTGAATTGGCTTAAAGAAAATGTTAAGGAGTCAGTTTCCTTTTTTGCACTAAAAAAATCTCCCCAAACAACTGTATTAAGAAATATGTTTTGTATCAAGGAATCCTCATGCTAAGAAGCTCAATGCTGGAAAGACTGTAGATGATTTACTTGGGGAAACCAGTAGAATGTATGTGTATATCCATTTCCTTTTTGGCCAGAAAATTTTGTTCATTTTGAATTGAAGCTCAAGAGTAGATTTTTGGACAAAAGCATTCCAGTTGTGTAAGCTCCTTGACATACCCAAATTATCCATGTTGAGTTATCAATGTAGCAAATGCAAACTTGTAGTTCAATCAAGAGGTATGGCAAATATATTAAGGATATCATGGCAGTAGATCAATCCACAATGAATGGATTTATTGATTCATATGTGTAAGTATTTTTTTGATTGCAGAACCTAAGATATATGAATCATTGAATTTGGTTATTTGAAAGGGAATTGCATTTTCAATTGGTACAATCACTGATTCATATAAATGGTGACTTATTTAGAAAGAATAAATGGAAGGAAATATTTCAAGATACTAAAATATTCAAGATTACTGATATAATCAGTAGTCATATTGAGTGGTCAAAGATAAATGATGAGAAGTCTGTCTTGTCATTTTTTTCTTTCTTTTCCCAAGCACTGATTCCATCCTTTTTTGTGGTGATCCAGGAGCCTGTATGGTATGATGTTAAAAAAGCCAGGTCAGAAGCTAGAAGCTGTCTCAAAAATTATGGAAACAAATTTAAAAAAGCTGTATGTGTCTCCTTAAACAGCTTAAAATTTGATTGGGACATATTCTAGGCTGAAGGGCATGTATTTGAACTATATCATAGTGAGTTGTATCACATTATTGAAAGTGTATTGGAAAATGATAGAAAATTGGAGTGTTCAATAGAAGAAATAGGATTTTTCATATTGAATCAGGGTGGAAATGCTGCTGAAGATTCCACTAGTGCTGCCTGGAATTTGGAGAAAGTCAAAAGGATGTTTGAAGAATGGAAGGATTATAAAGCAAAAAATACAATTGAATGTGGGCACAAAGATATTTGGAAATTCCATAAGACCTATATAATATATATCTTCATCTCTAACTTGATCAATTTTTTCTGGAAAAATGATGTCTTTATCAAAAATATGCACAATGTAGCATCTCAGAGCATGATGTGAGTTCCAAATACTCTGCAAAAGGAATTAGTATCAAAATTTATTAGCTCAAAACCACCAAATTTTGCTTGGAATTGTCATAGATTACGGAAGCAATTCAATATACTCCTGCCAAGAGTCTTTGGTATCAATACCAACTTAGTCCAAACTTTGAAGAGAGAAATTGGGTAAGTTTTAATTTACTCTTGTATCTTGAAGACAAATAGATATTTTTCAAAATATGGTTTATCAAACATTGTTCTTATCATTGATTTCAAATGCCTTAGAGATCATGGACAAATTTGGTATCAAAAGCATCCCTGGGGTCCCAAGTTTTATTTACTCCCAAATCTGATATCCACTCACCTGGATTGGCTCCAAAATAATGATCAAATGTCATTTCTCACTCTGTATCCTCTGTAAATTCTTTATTCATCAGATAATCTGGTCTTTTATGTTGATTTTCTCTTTTTGGCACAGGCCACCCTCAATTTCTGAACAGGTCAAATTAGGAGTTTCTCTTCAACATATTGCAGAAGAATTGGAGCCACATTTCCATAAAATGTATGTTTCAAATTAAAATTACATTCAAAAAAATAATAACAAATTTGCTTTGGAAACAAGTCACAGTACTAATGATTGAAAATATGGGGCAAAAAGGAATTTGGATGAATTTGTTTTGTTAGTCCCATTTGAAACAGAGGTAAAAAAGAAAATGTTCAGAAAATATGCATCAAAACATGGTGGCAAAATCAAGAAGGGTCATTGGGACTTGGAGAACTTCAAAAAATTGCATGAAGATTGGATCAATAGCCAAAAACCAAAGTTAAACCGTTGGAAGAGATTTACCCAAGCATTGTGTAATTTTTTGAAGATCTCAAGAAACTTTTCCAAAGAAATCACAAGTGACAAATCCAGAAGAATCAATTGAAAAGAAACGGTTCTGTCCATTCTGTTTAATAATACTCACTGCCACTCCACTCTGGTAAGGTTGATGACAATGAAACACTTTTCTATATCTCCCAAATTGTGAAAACCAAGATGTAAAAAATCTGAATCTTTTTTGATATTCTTCATCCTAATCACCTGTGCTTTTTTGACTTCTCTTTGAGAATATTACCCACATTTAAATATTTGAAACAAGCCAATTCTAAGGGCAAAAAAGCACTACAATTTACAAATAGCTCAAAATATGCTTGTTTCAAGGATCATATGGAACATCTTGTTTAAGACAAGCCAAAAAAGTGCAGTTGGTTCCCAGATGTGGGAGGATGAACAATATCAAAAAATATTCAAATATTTCTTATATCTTGGTTTTCATTTTGGTAGATACAGAAAAAAAGTGTGGTGCAGTGTTTCAGTGTCACCCTCAGTTTACCAAATTTGTTATTCTGTTGTTTCCACGGTATCTAAAGATGTCAAAAGTCCACCCACTTATCAGATGAATTCTCTGATTGGATTTCATCAAAGTGGTGCATGTGTGTCCAGGTTGTGATTCATGAAGAGCTTCCAAACAGTGTGAGTGGTGTGAACTTTGAAGTGATTGGGTTTTCATGACACGGCTTCATGTGAAAGAGTTGAGCTGTCACGGACCAGCCCAGGGCCGACGTCCGGAGTCAGATGCGGACGTCCCGGTGATCGAGCCGATCTCATGCGTCATACATCCTGTGTCAGCCAGTCAGCTTCATAGGATGATGTAACCCCTCCTCCTCCCACCCACCTCACCTCTGACTAGACCATCATCCACCCCACAATTATAAAATCCCTGTTGACCACCATCTCACATCGATCGACAGTCGAAGCAATCAACCTAAATATCATCCAAGAACTGAACTAGGTCCCAAACAAGATGGCCAAAGATCCAAAGGAGTCGTTGGTTGCACCAGTCAGGTCAGACGACGTGAAGCCATCAGATAAAAAGAAATCTGAAGATGGTCTCAATGGTAAACAAGTAGCCAAGAAGCTCAACGACAACAAAACTCATGACCAAGAATTAGTCAGTCTATCTCTTCCCCTCTTGATCATCTATCAGTATTCCATCACTTACAACAAAACCCTTGAATTTGTTTCATTTGTTATTTATCTTTTCAAGAGTGAGGAAGATACCGCTCTCAAGGAAGAGCTCGAGATGCTGGTCCAAAGGCTCAAGGTGATGCTCAGATGTTAACCTCAAAAATAATGGTTGCTAGACCGATTTCTGACAAACATGTGTGATTTTTACAGGAATCCGATCGGCAACTCTATAAACCAACTCTCGAAATGTTAAGAAGTTTGATTCGAACCTCAACCTCATCAATGACCTCAGTCCCCAAACCCTTGAAATTCCTTCGACCTCATTTTGGTGACCTAGTTCGAATCTTCTACAGCTGGGGTAGCCGAGAAGAGTACGACCAAGCGATGAGGGAGGATGGCGAAGTCAAGCAGGAGATCCAACGCCTAAAACAGGCTGAGAAGGCTACTGCTGCCGCTGCCGCCGCTGCTGTTATCCCTTCCAGTGAGCCAGAGAAGAAGGAGTCCGACGGTGAGACCAAGCCGGACGAGTCGAAAACCAAGGCCAAGGAAGTTTCTTCTGGCAGCAAAAATAACGATGGGGAAACAACTCTCAATCGATCAGCCGCCGTGCCTGCACTGCCCCCATTCCACGCCGAACCAGGCTCGGTCAAAGGCGTCTCTTCTATGGATCGTATCCTGTTGGCAGAAATCATTTCCGTTCTTGCTATGACCTACTCCGACAGTGGTCTGCGCGACACTTTGGCCTTCCGACTTCGAAGTCACAAAGTTGACCACTCGAGCGTTAGAGATGACCCGGGCGTATGGGGACATGAATATGTTCGTCATCTGGCAGCCGAGATCGCAGAAGCTTATCAGGCGGTACAGTCCAAATCTGACGACATGGCTGAAGATGAAAGAATCGAAACTGATGAGCAGTCCAGCCGGAAGAAGGAACTGCACCAATTAGCCATGCTACTCGTTCCATTTTTGCTCAGTCATAACGGGGAGGCTGATGCGATCGATCTTCTTCTCGAACTTGAAAGCATCAACGATATTGTTCCGTTGGTCGCAGAACGTACGCACATTTTCTTTCTCTATACCGCATCGTCCTTGATCACCGCGGCTGTTTAGTTAATCCTATTATCTATCACCTCTTAATCCTTACCGTAGACAATTATTCCAGGGTTTGCAATTACATGCTGTCATGCGTCAACTTCCTCGTTCCACCCGATGACACCAACTTCCTCCGAGCTTGTCGCCAAATTTACAGATCTCACTCTAGATTCTCGGAATCGATGATGGTTAATATCAAGATGGGAGACAAGGCGGGGGTCAAGGAGGATTTCGAGTCGGCATCTAATCCTAATATGAAGCTACAACTTGCGCATCTGTTGGCCCGCCATCAGCTTCCGTATCTTTCAGCAGACCTTACCGAAGATGAAGACCTGAACGATGTATTGAATAATACAAAGCTGACGGCGCACTTCAAGGCGTTTGGAGAAAACCTGAACGTCACTGAGCCCAAGACTCGCGAAGACATTTACAAATCTCATCTCGAAAATATCCCTGCGAGTCTGGGCATCAAAATGGATTCAGCCAAACAAAATCTAGCCGGTACATTTGTTAACGCCTTTGTCAATGCTGGTTTTGGGAACGATCCGCTAATGGCAAATGCCGAAGGTGGTCAGAGTTGGATTTACAAAAATAAGGATGATGGAATGATGAGTGCCGCTGCATCGTTGGGAGTGAGCTTACTATGGGACACGGATGGGGGTATCAGTCAGATCGACAAGTATACGTACGCAACGGACGACCATATCAAAGCTGGCGCTCTGCTAGCCAACGGCTTACTACACTCCGGTGTCCGTACGGAGATGGATGTCGCCTTGGCTCTTTTGGCCGATCACATCGATTCCGCCGTCGTTCCGATCCGAGTTTCAGCGATTATTGGGATTGGGATCGCTTACGCCGGTACGCATCGAGATGACATCATGGACTTGTTATTACCCCGCATTGAAGATACGGCAGTATCGATGGAAATCGCTGGAGTTGCTGCTTTAGCTCTTGGCTTCATTTTTGTCGGTAGTGGGGACGGCAACATCTCACGGACAATCCTGCAAACGATGATGGAACGTGAGAACGACCAGCTGAACAACAAGTGGAGCCGCTATTTAGGACTCGGTCTCGCTCTACTTTATCTAGGCCAACAAGACTCGACTGAATCAGCCGATGCCACCATCGAAACCTTGAAAGCAATTGAACACCCTCTCAGCAAACAAACCTTGGTTTTGCTGGAGTCCTGTCTGGTCCGCTGGGTCGGGTAACGTGTTGAAGATCCAATCGATGTTTACACCATTGTGCGGACCATCATGCAGGGAACAGCAATGGTACGAATGAAGAAGAAGCGAACAAAGAAGAAGAAAAGGATGGTGAAGAAGTATCCGAACAAACTACACTTCACCAGCAGCTGGCCGTTATAGGCATAGCAGTCATTGCCATGGGTGAAGAAGTAGGTGCAGAAATGTCACTGAGACATTTTGGACATCTTGTAAGTAAAGTGTCATCTCGTATTCCCCCCTCCCTACCCATCCGATACTGATCCAGCGTCATTTTTCAATTGATGTGATATTCAAGATGCAATATGGCGAGGCACCCATCCGTAGAGCCGTGCCCCTAGCGTTGGGACTAGTTTCGGTTTCCGATCCAGTTTTGCCGGTTCTTGACACTCTTTCGAAGTACTCTCATGATAGTGATCTTGGAGTTGCCTTGAACTCGATTTTCGCTATGGGATTAGTCGGGGCGGGGACAAATAACGCTCGTTTGGCTCAGATGTTGAGGCAATTGTCAACCTATTACTACAAGGAACCAGATTGTTTGTTCATGGTTCGGGTCGCTCAGGTAAATGTCATCTTCATGCGGTCATCAAAACTTCCCTTGTAACAAGGTTAATGTTTGGTTTGTTTGGGAATATTCTAGGGCTTGGTTCATCTCGGTAAAGGCACGCTTGGATTAGGTCCTTTCCATTGTGATCGACAGGTCATGTCACCCGTTGCCGTAGCAGCCCTGCTATCGACCATCATGGCATTTACTGATGCAAAATCATGTAAGGCTTCTATTTTCTCCGTGGCAAGAACGATCTTGATCATTAGAGCTTACTACCGGAACGTTACTTTGCTTTGCCTTCTTATTACAAAATTAGTTATCCTGGACAAAGCTCACTGGCTCTTGTTTCTATTGACTCCGGCGATGTATCCTGTAAGTAGAGATTATTTTTCCTTCCTGAAAAATTAGCCTGAGTAACCCCGCAAAAGATAAAACTAACATGAACAAATGTGACCTACTCGATCGATTGACAGCGATTCCTGATGACCTTTGGAGAGGATGGAAAAGCTATTGAAACTTCAGTAAGAGTCGGGCAGGCGGTGAACATTGTGGGACAAGCAGGCAAACCCAAATCGATTTCAGGCTTCCAAACTCATGTGACACCGGTTCGACTAGGAAATACTGAAAGGGCTGAATTGGCTTCAGAAGAATTTATTCCTTATGCTCATGTCTTAGAAGGCTTGGTCATCCTGTCTAAAAATCCAGGGTTCGAATCTGAAACTATGATCTCTTAAAAGACAAAATTTGCAACATTTCTCATTGGTATAACATTTTTCAAAAGATATTCTCCATTTTTTGTCATTTATTTCTTTTTTCTTATTTTCTGATTTTTTTGTAATTGGGGAATATTCTCACAAGTTGAAAGATCTGTAATCAATTATCTTTCTCGTTTATAGAAAAGTAGCAAATAATACCAAAAAAAAGCAAAGCATTATAAGAAGTATGGACAGGTATGCTGTTCTCAAGTTAAGTGGGGAAACCTAGTTGTTTTTTCATCTACAGTACAGATAGTATCACCAAATTTCATTTGTCATGTTAATTGACCTGGGAATTCAAGCAGCATTTCTTGTGATGGTGCACTACAAGATGGGGATTATTCTTTGCCCCATTTTTCAGCTGTAGTTAACAGTCAATAATCCTGCCTACAGACTTGAAAGGAAAGATGTTGGCAAAAAAATCAAAAGGTCATTTTGGTGCCTGTTAGGACTGTCACCATACATGCTGTTTTCAATCATCTCAGTCTATCTCAGTTGTCCCTTCCCTTGATGTCCGTAAACCAGCAAATAAAATTTGATATCCCTGCTTATGTCTGATGAATGAACCTCACAGTCATTAGCCCAGTTCACATAGCTGCTTGTTCACAAATTAAATGTGTCAACGCTTAACAACATCTCGTTAAAATTTTGGTGGAGTCCCACACACAATTTAAGCAAAACAGTTCAAGTGACGGGCAGTGTGACTTTTCACACATGTCATAAAAACGCCCTACATGAACCGGGCTATTTACATCTTCCTTCAAATGAATCTGACAAGAGCTGTGGTGAAGAGTGAGAAGCCAATATAGGTTCTTCTGCCTTCTGGTTAGCTCTTCTCATCCTTGAAAAAGTAACACAAAATTATCTTATATTTGAATTCTAGAGAAATTCATTATGTATATGGTGCTCAAATATGAATATGGAGTTGTTGGTATCTACATATAACAAAAGGGAGTTGATCAACCGACTCCCAAATATTGGAGAGTTGACTCCCAAACCTGGGTTTCCCTGAAATTTGGGAGTTGGTTCCCCAAACCCGTCAGTGGGTTTGGGAGTTGGCCCTCAAAAAAAATTAAATAAAAAAAAAGAAAAACCCCGGAGGGGTTGGGAGTCGATGCCCCAAAACCAAGTGGTTTTGGGGGGTCGGTGATAAAAAAAAAATAAAACCAGCGGCCGGGAGGATTCCTCCCGGCAAGAGTGCTTCATGGACGGCCGAGAGATTTTCTCTTGGGCGTTAAGGGTATAACCCTCAACGGCCGAAAGAAACCTCTCAGCCGTCGAGGGTGTACACCTCAACGGCCGAGGGAAATCCTGTCGGCCATCGAGGGTGTACACTTTGACAACCGAGAGGCACACGCCGTTGAGGGTACACCCTTGACGCCCGGGAGGAATCCTCTTGGCCGTCGAGAGTGTATACCCTTGGCCGTCGAGAGTTACACTCTCGGCCGTTGACGGTATACATTCTCAATGACCGAGAGGAAACCCTCTCAGTTGTACATGTTTCCTCTCGGTCGTTGAGGTGTACACCCTCAATGGCCGAGAGGTTTCACTCGGCCGTTGAGGGCTACACCTCCAACGGCCGAGAGGTTTCTCTTGGCCGTTGAGGTCTCAACGGCCGAGAAGTTTCCCTCGGCCGTTGAGGTGTACACCCTTGACCTCCGAGAGAAACCCTCTCGGCCGTTGAGGGTTATACTCAACGGCCGAGAGGGTTTTCTCTCAGCTGTTGAGGTTGTAGACCCTCGACGGCTGAGAGAAATTCTCTCGGCCGTCAAGAGCACTCTCTGAGGCTGGGAGGAATCCTCTTGGCCGTCGGTTTTTTTTTTTTTTGGTTCTGGCATCGACACCCAAACCCCGCCGGGGGTTTTCTTTTTTTTTATTTAATTTTTTTTGGAGGCCAACTCCCAAACCCACTGACGGGTTTGGGGAATCGACTCCCAAATTTCAGGGAAACCCGGGTTTGGGAGTCGACTCTCCGATATTTGGGAGTCGGTTGATCAACTACCTAACTAAATTTGGCAGGGACCTGCCAGCATATTTGAAACTCTAATTGATAGGTCCCAGCCAAAATTGTGAAGTATGCTGTTAAGTAGTGTTAAGTAGAAATTAACATATTCATATATGAACACCATTGTTGTTCAGATTGGCTTTCAAAAATGGTCAACTCAAACTGGATAATCCATTACCAATGGTGATGTACTGACTCTGTTCTTTAGAGTTAAGAGAGCTTGTCTTGTCAGCTCACAACACATCTCAATCTGTTTGTCTTTACTAAAATGTTTCGAGTAGAGTCAAATCAATGCTACTCTTCAAAAGAAGGACAAGGAATGAGATTTCACTGCTGATCAGAGATTTGGAGAGTTAATTTGATCATGCTCATTCACCAATGGTACTCTCAATGTATACAAGCTACAGCGAAACACAACATGAGCTTGTTACATAACCAACCTAGTGAAGGCTACTGTGATGTCTTGCTTCTCTCAATGTAGCAGTCGCTTCTTCGAGACAAGCAGCTTTCACACAAAGCTCTCTCGCGATTCGCTATAAATGTGTGACCGTATTGTTACTCGCACATTGAACCGGCTAGACCGCCGTGCCGCTCTGTGTAATACCAGGGCAATTAGCCCGGCAATCTTAGAACTGCAGGTGCCGGCCCTACCAAGTGGAAAAGGGCAACGGCTCCCGGATTGGTCGGATGAATACGCCCGGTCAAGCTTTATGCAGGGGGTAGTGGCTGAAGAGGGAATAGGGGAAAGGTGATGCGTCACATGTGACTTGCGAGTGGCCCTCATGAGCAGACGAACTTGATACATGATGGAAGGCATTCGCGCTGTCCACTGGCTAACGAAGAAAGGGGCCCTTTATCTTGCCATAGCGGCTCTCATCTCATCATTCACATCGGAAGGCTAATTCGGGCAGACGTTTCTCAAACTTACTTATCCTCACGTCGGTTGGACGTTGGAAGTGGGACTCGGGCAAGGCAACAGATCCTAATTATTAGAGATAATGGCGAAATTGCATTTCGCAGGTTTGAAAAGGGCACGTCAACAACGGAATGAAAAAGGAGTCCTAAAGTGTCCACTGCATGATCGGCAGTCTTTGTCGGTATCGACAGGCTGAAGAGGTACCGCCAGAGTCGCGTCTATTTAAACATTTGCGAGAGGCCGGAAAATCCTTGCACGAAAGGGCTGACACAGTTGATGAATGGCATGATGTTGGTAGACATGCTGCTCCAGTTGGTGCTGCTCTGTTGTTGAGTGAAAAATTGGGACATGGAGCCCGCAACATTTCCCAAGGCTAATACAAGAGGGAGGTCAGGTTGTGTGTCCAGTGCTCTCGCAAATGAAGTAAGATGCTTACGGGAAACAATGCCACCCATAGCCGAGGCGCCAAAGGTGTTCTGCATGCTAATGAGCATTTGCGAGAGTTGCGCGAACATGTCGTTGAACATCGTGAAGACTTGGGACTAGAAGGAGCCAACACAGCCAATCAGTTCACCATCTTATTAATGGCGAGGAATCATGATCCACGCACGCCTTGTTGGAAACATCCGCAAGTGTTGAGTCCAGAGAAGACGCTCTGGAGTTGATTGGCAATTGTAGACATGGATTGGGAGGCAACCATAGTGTTCATGCCACCGTTCATGAGCATGTTGTTAATCGATCCAATCTGGCTCATGAGCGGGCCGAAGGACTGAACAACAGTCGAGCTTTGTGCGTCGTGGTGAGAGCTCTCCGTGTGGGAGTACGACGAGCCAAAGGGAGAACTAGACGCCTGGGTGTTGGACTGTTGTCCATCCGAGACTGATGAGGTGGTGGTCATCCCACCGCCGCCCATCGGTGGCATCATGCGACTATGGAGCCTACGAAAACATTCACAGTTCACAAGTAAGCTCGAGTTTGTTGGGGTCATACTATAAGGGAGGGACTTACTCGACAGGGGTGGCGGCAGCCACTGAAACCAACACGTACAAAACAAGTCAGCGAACTCTACAGGCTTGTGATGGGAAACAGGTTTCGTTCGCTTACAAGTAGCCAAAAGGCAAGCGACAACGACGAAGGACTTCATGGTTTTTTGTTTGCTGGTTCTCGCAAGTGAGTGAACTGGCTTCGGAACGAATGAGATGTCGTAACAAATGTGGAATCGGCGGAGGCGGTTGGGTGATGGGAGGATGGGCGCCATAGGGGCCCTCGTTTTATAGACGAGTCCCTCCTCAGCTCTTGACTTCTCTTCGGAGTCTTTCTGCCGTTGTGTAGCTCACTCAGGCCTATAGACAGGCCTATAGACATGGGCAGGAAACCTCTGGTGCACTGAGCAACAAATGACCCGAGGGCCGACAGCCACCGAAGCCGGCCTTTGGAATTTCTCAGGGCTATGTAAGTATGAGAAGAGGTCTGGTGCGATTCAATCCAGGAATTGGAAATATTCTTTTGACACGAATTCTGCCCGGTCTGTCGTGCATGAGAATCAAAAGCCGTCCGGCCGGCAGCGGCCGGCGTCTTTGTAAGACACTTCCCACCATTCAACCATCATCCGGCGGCTCACGCTTCCATGTAATTAACGCGTCACGCACAGCTCACCGCAGAAATCACTCGACGTTCTGTGTGATATCATACATTGTTCAGAGCCCCGACGGCGATGGCAGGGCTGGTAGAGTACAATGTCCAAGAAGGATGAATTTCATAAGATGGAGTTAGGGACCGACACTGCCCTCCCGGGCCAGCAATGTAGAGCAATGTACAACTAACAGTACAACCCTCCTCGCCTCCACCAATGATAAAGAAACAAGGCCCTCATTAGCGTCGAATCTGCATCGTCCATGGCTTATGAGTCCTGTTCAGGATTTTGCAAGTTTCCTTTGGCTGAGAGATGAAGGATGTGTCGACGAGACTTGAGTTGCATCGATTGGAACCCCGCAGTGATTGCACGAGGAGGGACCCTTGATCTGAGAGCTGAAATGGATTTGGTAAACAGTTTGAGTGAGCGGAGTCGAGGCATTTCATTTCAGACCACCGACACACAAGGCAGTAAGACAAGGAGTAGTAAATACAAAGTAGCGGACGTGTGGTCTGGTAGCTGCAAGTTTTCGCTTGAACAAGCAAGTTGTGTTACCCAGCTTGTTATGAATATTGACTTATGGAGCTCAAGTCTGGCTCAAGGTCACTGGAGTGATGAAGCTCAATAAGGTTCCTTATAGCAACTATTCGATATTAGCAACCGATTTACATTTCATTGATAAAGGGTCTCATTTCAAGTTCTGGTCAACTCGGCCTTGACAAGTCCACAGTAAATGAGGATGAGCTACTAGACCTACAATGTCGTACTAATCCGCTATGTTCAGGCTCAACTCAAGCCTTCGATGGCGAAGTATTTAGATACGGCCACTGAGGGGTTGAGTGAAAATGAAGTGGTATTTCCAAGAATGATAACTGGAATCGGCACTAAGCAACAAAGACAACCAATGTTCTCAAGAGAGTGACTCAGACAAAGACTGGGAACTCCCCTCCGAGCATCAACATCAACTTGAAATTGTGAGGGGAATGGGCCCATAGAGGACGGGGGTGGGAGTACAAGTGTTCATTTCTAAATCACGGCAAGACGTTGTTGAAAGCTGGGTTGGCTTGCGCGAGCATTGATACCATGGGGTTGAGGGATTGGGCGATGCTGGAGAAGGATTGCGCGGAACGGGACTGTTGAGTGAATTGGGACATGGTGGGTGCGAGTTGTCCGAAGCCTGAAAGAAGGGAGATGTTAGGACAATTGGGAAGACTAAAACCTGACCAGAGAGGACAACAGGCGACATGGAAGGTACGTACTTGACAAGATGCTGCCCATGCTGTTGGCCCCAAACGTAGACTGCATGCCCGTCAAGACTTGGTAGAGCTGGCTGAACATGTTTGTCAACATGCTCGAAACGTTGGACTGATGAGACGAATGGTCCATGCAAGTGATCAGCACAACTCCTGACCCATTCAGCAGAATAAGAAAAGAAAAACTACACACCCCTCCGATACAGTTGCACGTGTTAACGGCCGATAAGGCAGACTGGAGTTGACCCGCAATTTGGCCCATGTATTGGGAGGCCATCGGCATGGTCAAACCGCCGTTACCCATCATGCCTTGGAGCGTGTTCAGAGTGCTCACAACGGGCTGGAAAGTCTGCATAACATTGGTTTCAGAGTATGAGGATTGGCTCGACGATTGGGACTGAGCAATTCCACCGGGCCCAGCCTGGGTGTTGCTTTGGGATTGGGAGTTCTGGCCCGATACCTGATTCGCTATCATCCGGGGTTCATGCCTGGAGAAAGAACGTCAGCATGGTGAAATTGAGGTGAAGATTTAAGCCCAAACAAGAGAATGGATATATATAGGAGCTGACTCAATAGGGGTGGCCATGGCACCTATGATGGCAGTACGCGAATCAGTTAACATTCTAACTGCATGGGCGGAAAGACTTGTGTGGACACGTACAAGCAGCCAAAAAGCAAGCGACGTAAACGGAGGATCTCATCTTCGGCTCTTGGTTTTTTTTGGTTGGTGTTGGATTAACGAAAGTGTTCACTGTTGGCGGGCGATCCAAGGCTGGTGTTGGGTGCTGATGGGTCAATACCCGCTCAGAACGGCCTCCTTTTATAGGCCATTGTTCCTCTGATCTCTGCAGACAACTTAGTGCAGAGTCCCTCCAAGCTTGGAAACTGCCGCAAGGTAGCCGTTAGGGTCGGTGGTACCGACTTCAGCAACTTTGGGGTCCAATGACGGCGCGATACTTTCTAGAACTTGCGGTCATCATTTCTCAATGATGTCACTCGCAAGAGTCAATAACGAGGTGAACTACAAAATCAATGAAAAAATTGAGAATTTTGTACACAACATGAGCTGTTTCAGCCTTAGGTGCGCGCGATCAGCCGGGCATCTGCGTTCAGGAAGCCTCTCTCGGCTGACATCATGGCCCTGAACCTAATGATGGTCCAACAAGAATCATACTTTACCTTATGAATTCCGTCTGGAATTAGCATCAGAGAGTTGAAGTTCTTCATGAGTCACGACTCATGAGATCACAAGAGGAGCGTGAGCCTGGTCGAGCTTAACTAACCCTCTCCGGAGGAGGCGCGAAGCGTCTCCGAAGGAGACGCTTCGCGCGAGCACCCTCCCTTGCGGGAGGGTGCTCGCGCCCCGCGAGCACGGAGGGACTTGTGTTAAGTTCGGAGCCTGGTGCGGAGGCTCTGACGCAAGCAATCAAAGGACGCCGCAACAGTATAACTGCCATGATGATGATGTAAGTTGTCTGTCAAACACGAGGTTTTCTTTTCTCAAATTTGGGGAAAATTTGGGTTGTTTTATCACAGCTGCTCAGGTAAAATCTATGACCCTCAATGGAGGGCTTCCCGTCGTCATTTAGAGTGTTTTTAGACCACTCTCAGTCCCAAATTAACACAAAGCAAAACCACAACGCAACACAGCAAGGCTTGTGAAAAAAAAGAAAAAAGAAAAACCAAAAATTTAGATGGAAGTGGTGTACAGCAGACCCATAAACCCTTGCAACTTTCCCCCCCCCCCAGAAAAAAAAAATTCAAAAAAAAAAAAAAAATCATTCGGTGTAGCTGTCACAATTGAACAGGGAAGTGCATACTTATGTGATGAATCTTGACCGACCCAGCTTGTGATAGGTCACCTCCAACACACAAGACGTCAAGACTGACTATTTTCTTGACAGCTGCATCAAAGAATCTCACAGTAAATGTTTTCGACCAATTTTTTTTTCTGGGGGGGGGGGGGGGGAAGTTGCAAGGGTTTATGGGTCTGCTGTAAAATAAATTCTGGGGTAGGGTTTTAAATTTGTGACGGGAAGTTATCCAATGATGCTTCCATGAAGAATTGGGGCTGCAAAGTGATTTCTGGGATCAAATTCAGAGTTGAAACACTAAGGGGGTTCACATACTGCTGATTTCGAAATCAGCAGTCAAACTTTGCTGGAATGGTAGTTTTAAGGTTTATGGGAAACCAAAATAGTTTAGTGCAAGGTCCCTGTGGATTCAAAATCCCACATTTAAAGTTCATCAGGTTTGTGCATCAGCAAGCAAACCTTGAGCTGCATCAGCAGAGGTTTGGCTGGAACGTGAATGCCCTTACTGGTTCATCTGTCGAGTCTGAGGTTTGTTTTTGTTTGTTTTTTGTTCTGCAGACTTGGGTGTTCTTCATTACCATGTAGGCCTAATCCAATGGTGACATTTGGAAACTGGGCAACATTTGTGTTCCCCATCAGAGTCAAAATTTCTGGTAACATTTTATTGCGCTACAGATTCTGCTGTGTGCTGTGGAGGAGCCACAGGTATTAATGGGTGAAAGAACAACCAATTGAAATATCCAAGTTGTTTTTTAGACTCAATTGGTGTGTTTGAATGTGTACTGCTATTAAGGGGGTTCACTGACTGCTGATGCTGGAATCATCAGTCAAACCTTGTTAAAACTGGAATTTGCTGATGCATTGGGGAGCAATAAAGTTTGGTGAGAAGCTCCCCTTTAGAAGCAAGATCCCACAATAAAAACTTTACCAATGTTGTGCATCAGCAAACAAACCTTGTTCCACATCAGCAATGGTTTTGGTGCAAAATGGTCCCCCTTACTTTAGTGTGTTTTTTGATTGGCACGTTTTGGTTTCCTTGCCTTTGCCCTTTCTTTAATTAGGTTTTGAGAATTTTGCAAGGAATTGATAAAGAGAGCTAAGTCAAATTATTCAACAGAGATAAGTGATTGGCAAGGGGGATGTAAGAAGATAAATAATTGGCCAGAGCATTGCTTGTATATGTATCATTTACATTGGGAAGGGAGGCTCTGGCTTTTGTTTGAGAGGTCATGATTGTTATAAACTGGAAATGATTGATTATTTGTCCTAAACTCAGATTGCTTACCCACTTTGGTTGGACAATTTTTGTTTTCAATTTCATTTGTAACTCAGCTCAAAAAACACCCATTGGTTGTGGCACATTTTATCTCTGCATATCTCTGTCATTTCCCCCATTTATCTTAGTGTCGACCAATTGGGCCAAATTGTTTCAGTTTGATAATTTTGACTTGTTCCTTTCTTTCCTTTTTGTTCCATCTGCCCTCCAGTCCACCCAATAGAGATGGTCTCAGGGTATCCGTTGCATTGTAAGACTCAAAAGTGGTTGTGAAACCCTTTTGCTGAATTGAGAAGGGGATGATGGAGGTGCAAACTCCGCCCTTCTATACTATCAGAAACAAGACCCCCAAGCTTAGCTTGGAAAGTTTTAATAATGTGATAGGATTGGTTGGTTCCGGTAAAAACTTTGTTTGATGAAAGGTAAAGGTTGAATATATATTTGCTTATAAAAGAAACTGTTATGTTGTGTAACAGGTGAAAGGTTTATATAATTGTTGGTGTAACTGTAACTGGTGAGTGATTGAACTAATGAATAATGAATTATGAACTGAGTGCCTGAACTGAGTGAATGAGTAGATGAGTTGAGGAGACAACAAATGGGGGGAAGAGAGCCCCTTTTATAGACAAATGTGAGGGAATTTAGCTCCAGGGCAGACAAGAAAGAGTGATTTTAGATGGCCTGTAGGTACAAATGAGTGAATTTAGCTAGTCTGATCATGCAAGTGAGGGAAATTAACCAGTGAGGCTGTGTACAATTAATGTCAAAGGCTGTGCTGCAGTGCGTAAATAATGTGAGAAAGTGTCAAATGAGGCAATAAATTGTGGGGAAAAAATCAGCTGTTGCCATAAGTGAGGTGAGAAAATTAATAACTGTGGGAAAGTAATTCAATCAGGACTGCACAGTCTGCAAAGGGCAGTGCATGAGGTGACAAATAAAACCAAACTAATTTATGCAGTGGAGATAAAGAGGTGTAGGAAATTATGTGTATACCGTGAGCTGTGTATAAGAATAACTGAGAGTAGAGTTGAGGGTTGTGACATGTGCTTGACTGGGTATTGGCTTTGTGATATGCGTCCGTAGGGGTGTAACTTCCAATCCGTGGGTGTTCCAATGATGTGTTGTGAGAACTCCTTTGGGATGGGTTGGCAGTCCTTGAGGGGGAAATAACAATAATGATATTTCACTAGATAATATTTACTGTTACGGGTGGTTTGAAAGACCTGCCCCTCTATTTACTACACAAGAATTCTGCTTTCTGTAGCTAATAGCCAGGGCAATCCAAAGCTACAACAGATTTTCAAGATGGGAATGAATATAAGAGGGTAAAAAGCAATGGATAACAAACCTGTGCTACTAAGACTTGTACCAAGTGACTGATGAGGTAGGCAATAATATCTAGAATAAGAGATAAAGTAATCTTTCCTGGACAAGAGGTATTTCTAAAGGTTTGTAGTCTTTAGTGAATGCTCTTTGAATGGGAGTTGATTAGTTTATATCTTGAAGACTAGTAAATGTTCTGCTGGGGCAAAATGGAGGAGCTCTCCTTTGTCACTCTAGCTCTCTCTTGAGTCTTTAAGTATTCTTACCTTCTGTTTGGGTTATCCCCAAGAAATAAACTATGAGCCCATAGCTCAAGTTTAAATAAGGGTCCTTTTTTTGGACCAAGTTAGCCTGTTTTCTTTTAAGTGAGTCTCTACTCAGCACACTTTTTGTTTGCCTTATGAAAACCTCCACTTGTTTGTTTATTTGTTAGTGATCTCATCAATTTTCTATCTTATTTGGAGTTGTGATCTCATCAACTTTCTGTCTTATTTGATGTTTATTATTTATTTATGTATTTATTCTACTTTATCTATATTCTCTCTTCCTAGGTTACTATCATATATTTATTATGATAATTCAAGCTTATAACCTTGTATACTAATTATGGAATATTATTGTTGTATCTTGACTGATGCTTAATATTAATTGTCACAGTCAAGAGTGTCAATACAGGTGTCACACTCTTGCCTGTTGACAGACCGTTTTAAGACTCAAAAAGTGATTGTAAGATCCTTTTTGATGAATGGAGAAAGGGATGAATGAGCTGCAAACTCTGCATTTCTATATTATCAGAAAACGAGACCACCAAGGTAAGCTTGGGAGGTTTCGTTGGTGAAATGGATTATGTTCAAAGATGAATGTATAATTGTTGAAGTTTGATCTTGTTGTCCAAAGAATTGATTGAGTTGTTGATGTTGTTTCTTGTCTTGATGTCTAGATCTGTGTAATGTAATAGAGTTCGTTCTTGAACCCAAAAAAAAAAGCTGGGAGCACTTTGCTTCAACCAGGACTGGAACAAAGGACTGGCTCTTTGATGTAATGTTGTGAAATGAACTGTGTATATATTTCAATCTGTGAACTTTCCTACTCGTGAACTTCTTGTGTAATAAATATGTGTAATCTGTGACAGGTGTCCCACCAAAAATGTGTACTGAGTGGGATGAGGAGGGAAACAACTGGCAGGCAGAGGCCTCCTTATATAGTAAAATATGAGGGATTTTAGCCCCAAGGGACCTCCTGTAAGAGGCATTTTAGCTGCCCTGTACCTGAAAATACTGAGCGATTTT